GGAAAACGTCAGGGGAGGGAAGCACATTCTGTAGGTCTAGCTGGTGCTCTCACCTACACAAATCACAACGTCTGCATTCTTGCCTCTTTTTCACGGCTCTTCAGAAGCACGGGGAAGAGAGGAGTCTACCCGACGAGAGCAATGAGTGTACAAATGTGCTTTACACAATTGATGTATGTATGGACTATGATAAGAGTCGTATGAGCCCCTAATAAAACGATTTAAAAAAGAGAGAGAGCGGATTCTACCTCGGCATGGGATAGATGCATGGAAAGGTCAGAATCAAGTATGTCTTAGGGATGGCCCCACTCCCCTCCCCTCCTGCCACTGAGGTATAAGCCACAGCTCATGACTGGCGTGTCACCCTAGGTGTGCTGGGGTGGGGCAGGAAGAGTGGTGAGTCACTGTGGCCCTGGGCTACACAGTCAAACATCCTGGATTCTCAACGATCTGCAACTGCTCGGGGAAGATTTGTACCGACCAAGACCCTCATGTTAGGGGCCAGGTCTGTGCTAACATCCAGGAATTCCGGGCTGCCGCCCTCTCACAATTGTCTTGTCCTGATTGTTCCTGCCGATGGGACTCTTCTCTCCAGAATAATCCAAAACACCAAATTCACTGCTACTGAGTCAATTCTGACTCATCGTGACTCTGTAGAACTGCCCCCGTGGGTTTCCCAGACTAATTCATTATGAGAGTAGAGAGCCTCGTCTCTCTCCCCCAGAGCAGCTGGTGCCTTCTAATTGCTAACCGTGCAGTGAGCAGCCCAATGTGTAACCACTACACCATCAAATCTCCTTCTCTCCAGAATACTTCCCTTGGTGTGTCTATCTCTAGGTCTATGTCTGTCTCCCTCCCTCCCTCTTCTCCCTGTAGAAGGCCACCCTCCTCATCAGCATCACAGCCATACTAAACCAGGAGGTCACATTCTCAAAGATGTTTCCAGAGAGCCCTTTAAATCAAAATGGCTATCACTCAAAACCCAGAAGCCATTCTCCTGCTTGGCTGCTCCCAACATCATTGGCAGTTCCTCACTGCTGTGGAGTCCTCGATTCCTGGCAACCCTATAGGACAGAGCCACACTGCCACACAGAGCGTCCACGGCTATCGTCCTAACTTTCCCCCTCCAAGTGGCTGGTGGGTCCAAACCACCAACTTTTTTGTTTGCAGCCAAGCACTTAACTATTGCCCCACCAGGGCCCCATTTGTTAGCATAGACTGCCTCCTTCACGCTTGCTCTTGTCCACACAGGGAACTGGCAGCAATTCCATGTTAACCACAACTTTTTTATAGCCAGCTAATGGGCACTGATGGATACATCCTCTTCCTGAGGTTCACACCCCATTGCTTAATATTTTGAAAAGCCAATCCGCTAGGGATATGTTTTTAAAACTGAAGATGTGCAAGCTGCTAAGACATAAAAGAGCCCATAGCTTAGCACATCACTTCACTGCAGAACCTTTTAAAGAAAATCCATACCGGCTGTGAGGTGAGTGCTACTCCCTGTGCTCCAAAATAGACAAGAAGGGCACAGCACAAACATTTGAGGACACAGTGAAAATGGGTCACCTGCGGCCTACTGCCTCTCCCACTACACCAAGCGCATAAAGCAAGGGTTGGCTTCGCACAAAAAGTGCTTCAAAACCACTCGTGCAGACACCAGCCGGAAGACTCCAGGAACGATGAGCCACACAAAGAGGAATCCTTATCCAGGCTTTGTTATTAGGTTGAGAGATACCAAGATGAAAGGCAAATGATATGTTCATTTCTTTATTTTCAAAGAGAGAGAGAGAGATCTGAAAAGTGATTTCCTCTAGAATGCCGCCTGGGCTACCAGTCCAGATGATAAATCACACTACACCCCGAAGCCTGCTTAATAAAGATGTGGAAAATAAACAAATGATTCATCAGAAGCATGTGAATTTCTGAAACTCTGTTGGGGGAGAAAGTTTTATTGCCATTATTAGGGAGCTGGTTTTAATCCCCAACATCAAAGCATCCTTGTTAGCCCTGGGGTTCTGAAGCCAAAATAAGCCCATAAATGAAACAGTGAGAAACTGCCACATGTATTGGTCTGTTTTCTCAGTTTCTAGCCAATTCTTGTGGCCACAATATCCTCAGGGGTGACTCCATGAATAAAGATAGTCTAGGGAAAAGAGGGCAGATAATCAGAACAACTAGGATCAAGCTCAACTCCATTACTGATAGATGGGCAAATATCTAAATTAATGGGCCTTAGTTTCCTTAACTGAGGAATCAGGTATGAAACCTTTAAGTAAAGCACCTTAATAAACCGCAAAGTGCTGTATTTCAATATCCTAGTACTGGTTCCAGTTTGGAGGCCTGGCGGCAAGTCAGGTTACTCCTCCGACTGCTAATCACAAGGCTGATGGTTCAAAACCAGAAATGGATGGGGATGAGGCTCTCTACTCCTAGAAGATGTACAGTCTAAGAAACCCTAATCAGAAGGTCACAATGAGTTGGAATCAACTCAATGACAGTGGGCTTCGTTGTATTTTTGTTGCTGTCATCATCTTTGGGGGGAGAGAGGGCTTCAGAATTCCTATGTTCCCAGAGCTCTTGGAGAATTTTAGCATTTAAAGGTTTGGCAGTTACATAATCTGTCAACCTGAGGGCAGGGGTGGCGCCTACCCTGTCAATCAAGTCATAGACAATGAGCCTCAGTGTGTGCAGGGCCTTATCCTGAGGATTCTGGGAACTCCTGTCTTCCTCCCTGGAGGCGGGGCACACACACTGCTTTACATTCCTGTTGACAAGCCACATGGAGCTACACTGATGGACACAGAGCCCTGGAGCTGGAGGAGTCACATGGAGACCCACGCCAGTGCTGAGATGCTTCCACCAGCACTGGATCCATAAGCGCTTCCACCTACTGGCCTGTGGTCTTCCTGCATTTGGCCTTCATTGCATGTGTTGTCTGAGTCTGAGGAGGACTTTATAGATTGGTATAGGACAAATGGGCTAATGTCGGACTTAGGGACTTGATCTGGACTGGGCTGGGATGTTTTCTTAATATACAATTACTTTTAATATAAAGCTGTTTCTTATACAAATGAGTGTCTATGAATTTGTTTCTCTAGTCAACCTGGACTAACACAAAGGGTAATCAATCCCATGTTAGGGATAATTAGAATGAGAAAACTTGAAGGTCCAAGATAGTTTAAGAACCTTGTATGATGAACATTTATATAAAGTACTTGGGAAGCAGAAATCTATTTTTTTCTGCCACTGAAATATGTACTAAAACAGTTCAAAACAGTACTGTCCTAGACACTAAACAAAAATCATGCTCTCCCCCACAAACTACAACTCTATTTTAGTTTGCTTTTATAAGTTGTACTCCTGCAACTTAACAGTTAAACTGAACTTTTCATTAGCAAGATAAAAATAAAAGTCATTTTTCTGGTTATGAGACTCTCCACAGTCCACCAGCAACCCAGACAAAACCTTTACAATTGGGTTAGAAATGTCTGATGGAAACACTGACATCGTGTTAACCTCTAGCTTTGCCGGCTGGCGTCATTTTAATATGGATGACAGCTGGACCAACGCAGGGATACTGGGTTTAATAAGAATTATCAACAACTCGGACAAGGATATGGCCTAAAAATGGACAGTTTAATCAAGACAACTCCATGGATGCTGAAACTCTGTCCTCTACCATCCCACATCAACCCTCCACCCCCACCCCATGACACTAAATAAATGGTGAGTGGTAAAGACCTAAAAGATTCTTTTTTCCTCTCCAGGCTGTTAGGGGAAGCAGAAATGGGTTGACTATGAATCAGCTGCGTTTTTACTTCATGATGAATATAAAATATGCTAATTTGGACATTCTGGTGGTTAACTGGACCAAAAAGGGGGGTGGTGGAGAGGCAGGAAAAGCAGTGCTTGCAAGTTGCAGCAAGAGTAAGTTTATGGTAGTACAGCTGCATGAAAGCCACCCTAAATTTATTTCTGGACTTTCCTGCCTCCACTAAAACCACTGACACGATTTCCCATCCCTTATTGTCAAATCACAACGGGTCCGGAAGCCTGGACCGGCCTCACTTGGCAGGTAACAGGCGCACCCCTCGAAGGAAGCCCTGAAGGATGTCAGATACCATAGTTCCTTGATTCACACGCACTTTCCATTCTCCATGCGCCAGGACAGATTTACAATGCGTGCTGACTGACACCCACCAGGCATTCTGGCTGGCTGAAAAGTTTGTGGAAATGTCACTTTCGAGAGATGTCAGGGCTCAGATGCGTCAACCATGCAAAGGGCTACTCGTAAGGAGCCGCTCATTAAAGTCTTCCATTCCCAGGACTCCAGCAGCAGCTGTGGAAACCCAAGCAGCTCCCGTCTTCCTGGAAACAGATCTGAAATACCTCCCGAGAAGCTTCTTCTTCTTCTCCCCTCCCCCTCCCCCGTGCCAGGAGCGCCAGCCTGGCAGGAATGATGATGACCCAGGAAGGAAACACCGAGAGAGTAGCGGATCTGCTGGAAGCGGAGCCGCTGCCTCCCTCCGTTTTCACCACGGAGACACACCAGCCCTCAGCGCAGCGACCCTGGTCTCGCCTTTCCTCCCCCACCCCCGGCGGCACCCCTACAAACACACTCCTTAATTTCCGCTCTCCCCGGCGCGGCTAGCATTTCTGGAGGAAGCGACCTCAGCAACCCGGAGCCCCTTCCTCGAAGATTTTTGAACCCGGTATTTCCTTTCCGCGCCCGAGTTGATGCCACCACCCTTTACCTGGTAATCACCCACCCGCACGACGACGCTGCTCCGGGGGTCAAGTTCAAGATGAAGGTGCCCTCCGAGCCTCCCCGAGCCGACTCCTGCAGGAGAACGGCGCGCCCGAGATGATTCCCACGTTTACGACCGGGGGATCCGGGTTCGCCAAAAGGGGTTTGGAAGGGACAGGGGTGGGCAGGGCGGTGGCCCTCGCCCAGCCCAGCGGCCCCCGGCCCTTTGGCCACGGCGCCGCAATACTACCTGGCCACCGCCGCATTTCCTCCCGGGGCGCGGACACAATGGGCCAAGTTAAGTTTGGCCGGTCCAGAGACGCTTTTTTTTTGTGTGCAAACACGCAGCACAAAGCCGAGGGCTTCCTTCCTAGCCAGCCGTTCCGGAAAGCCGCCGCGCCGGAGCGAAGAGCCCCCCACATCCTCCGGGCTGCGCGCCTGTACCCCAAAGTCCTCCAGGACAAACTAGCACCCTCATAGGAGCCCTGACCACCTCTCCACGCTCCAAGCATACGGCGGCTCACAAGCTGAAGACGATTCGGGTTTCTTCCGCACCCCGACCCCCCCAGAGGAAAAAGCATCCGTGACTCCTCTAACTTCCACTGCCGCCGCCACCCCTAAAGAAAAGAGCCTGTCTGTGATCATCACGGTCGTTGGGATCAGGAGATGCTAGGGGCTTTCAGCCCAGCACTGGGCCAGTAACACGCCGTCCCCTCCTCCCCCTTCGCTGAAACTCACTTGGCAACTTCGGGACCTGCGCACCCCTACACTCGGGGGCAGCCCAGGCCGCGCAGAAACCCGAAGGTTCTCGAGGCGGGAAAGGGGGAGAAGAGGCGCTCCGGGCGGGGAGGGGGGCGGTCTGGAAGCTCGCGGCGTGTCCCCCGCGCGCCCCCGATGCCCTGTAACCTCAGCTCCGCTGGGGGTTCGGTCGGCGCAGGGCAGAGGCGGGCTCCCTGGAGCCCACGGGACGAAGGCCGAGAGCGCCCAACATGTCCGTGCCGATCCCCGGAAACCTCTGGGTGTGCCCGGCGGAAGAGCGGGGCTCCAGAAACTTGCCCACCCGCTTTGCCACGCTCCCCATCACCTTCGCAGGCTCCCCAGGACCCCCTCGAGCTCCGCGCCCAGCGCGCACGCAGGCCCGGGCGGCGGAGTTACCTGTCTGGAAAGTTTCCAGCTCCTCCGCGCGGCTCCCCACCTCCAGGGCCGGGCCTCGGGGAGCGGCCGGCCGGGCGCTCGGCGGCAGCCTCTGGCGAGCTCCAGGGGCGGCCACAGCTCCCGCAGCTGCCAGAGCGAAAGCTGCGCTCCGGCCCGTCCCCCCGCCTCGCACGGCCCACCCCGGGGCCTCAT